TAGTTTAGACTGGTAGGAGAAATTTCCCAGCTAGTGTATACATTATCCAGCTAGTTTAGACTGGTAGGAGAAATTTCCCAGCTAGTGTATACATTTCCGCAGATAAATTAGGATAGGAGAAATTTTCCAGCTAGTGTAAATTTAGGTAGTATGTCTTCTAAAATAGCTAGAAAATATATACACTAGCTGGGAATTTCTCGTATCATCCTAATCTAGCTAGAAAATGTATAGGACCTACACTAGCTGGGAAATTTCTCCTACCAGTCTAAATTAGCTGGATAATGTATACACTAGCAGAAAAATTTCTCTTACTATCTAAACTAGGGGGGAAATTCCTCCTACCAGTCTAAACTAACTAGAAAATGTATACATTAGCTAGGAAATTTCTCCTATCGTCCTAATCTAGCTAGAAAATCTATACACTAGCTGGGAAATTTCTCTGTTTATCCGTACTTTAATAGTGCTAGCCTTTTTCCTTTTTGATTTTATTAATTGTATTGATTTGTATTGATATTGTATTGATTTTATTAATTGATTTATTAAGTGTATTTTGTTTGGGTTACTGGTTTTCCGATCCATGTTTTTAGTTACTCCAAAATGGCCGCGCCCTGTAATGAGTTGTGGTTTGAGGGTGGGCATATGTTTCCATTAGACAGACTGATCGCGTGACGTCAGTGTACGTCACACACGAACTCGGCTATCTCCGAAGTTGAATGCATTACGCATACAGCCTGCTGATGGCTAACCCTAACCCTAACCCTAATTAAATTTAATTAACACTAATTAATTTAATTAATTTAAAAAAAGGAATGTAAAATTGTAAATAAATCATGTAAATATTTGCGTTAATTGGGGAAAAATAGTTAAATGAATAAAGATAGAATAATAAAAAAATAAAAAATGTAAACAGATGGGATTAGAACCAACGACCTACAGATCTAACGGCCGCCGGCGTACGAGAGAGGCTACTCAGCGTCTTTAAAAAATTTATTATGGATGTGCTATATATGCATACATGGATGTGCGTGCGTGATTGGTCTATGGTGGTGACGTCACACTGACGTACACTGACGACACGCGATCAGCCGGCTTAATGGAAACATATTATATCTACCTGGTTTTAGAGTATGTTAGGTAGTAATTTACGAGAGCCTGCCTGACCTCTCATAAACTTTAGGATTAGAAGAATAATAATAACAGCCATTTAGCAAGCAAGAAATTGGAATTATAGATGATTAGTTCTATATTTTATATTAATAGTAAACAATTGTGTGTTTTTCAATAGGAAAATACAATTGCAGAAAAACTTACTATCTACCGATCATAAACCAAGACAAAACATCTATAAATGGCGTTTGTTCTCTTGTTTGAAGGTTTGCACTAAGGGAAAGTGACGTCACGCCGCCTCACCAATATCCGTAGCCATCTCGGCCACCGCGATTGCGGCCTCGCAAATAAATTTGAAATGAAAATGAATTTGGAATGAAAATAAATTTGAAATGAAAATGAATTTGGAATGAAAATGAATTTGGAATGGAAATGAATTTGAAATGAAAATGAATTTGGAATGAAAATGAATTACAAATAAATAATAAAAATATCCGTAGCCATCTCGGCCACCATAGTACACAGTACACGTAAGTTGTGTTCCACCAGCACTGCCATCGCGCGAGTGCTGCGGATATCGTCAAGAAAAAACAAGCAGTGATTACTTACCCGCCAGCACTGCCTCCTCTCGCTTCACACGGTTCGCTGCAGCCACCTCCTTAGTCAGATAGTCCTCTATAATACGAAATCCCTGTTTTTATGATTACCTATATGCTGCTATAGCGCGGAGTGTCGTGTATAACGGTTTACACAACAGCCAGCAGACGTTACGTCATGATAGCAATATGAAACTAATTAAGGAGAAACGTGAATGGTGGAAAATTGAAGCGTGATACAAGCGGATGTAATTAGTTTATATCGTGATTGAAATTTAGTACGTAGTTATAATTTGCGATGCCTATACTAATTAGATTTCAATTTACTTTGCGCGAAATTGCACGGTTAATAATTTGATTAAGAGGAAAAACGTGCGCGCGTTTATTTATTTCGGACAAAAATTCTATATGCAGCGAAATGCGCATCCTGCACAGATACAAAAAATAACTGAAAACCAGCGTTGTGTAAGAGCAGTCGAATCCTAACCCAAACCCTAACCGATAGCCAACCCTAACCTTAATCCTAATATTAACCCTAACTCAAGTCCCAACACCAACCTTAACCCTAACCCGAACCTTATCGCCAACCCTAGCACTATCTCTATCCTTGACCCTAACCCTAACCCGACAATTATCTAACCGAATATGTGGCTGTAGTCCTGTATCTTGTAGCATCCGGAGCGGTGCTGCCAGCTCAGTATACCGTCGAGCCACTCGGGTCTAGCGAAGTCTCGAAATCCGAGCATCCCACAGAGAGCGGCTGCCAGTCATCGAGACAGCACGTTGCGAAACAGTGA